TACAGAAATTCAGAAATCATATTTGCTTACAGAATATATACGGAAATCAGAATCAGATTATATCATATAGTATTATAATTAATAGCTAAATTCTCTAACACTGACAGAATCTCTACGGATTCTGGCCCCTTATGCCTCCCTTTGTGCTCACGGCACCAGAACAAATATGCTTATGTGCTCACGGCACCAGAACAGATGTGCTTATAGCACCAGAACAGATTTCATCGGATCCGAAATAGACAGATATCAGATTTCAGATTGAGCTCATTTCAGATTTCCCAGACACTAACTGAATCTCTTAGGATCCAGGCCCCTTATATCTCCCTGTTAATAGCATATACAGATAGCATATCAATTCAAAAGAAATTCGGACGAATTCAGAAATCAAATAAAAATCGGGCAGCACAACGGCTGTATACGAAATTTACACAATTTTTCCTAAAAAATCACAGAATACCAAATTTGCATAGAATGTAGATAACAACATTGCAAGACTTTAATTCTACTGCTCAGACAATTTTAGACTACACAGAAAAATACAGTCGACGAAAAACGCCGTCAAATCAAATCTACCTGGATAAAAATCTCCTGAAAATAACCAAAATGTGCACACTCGGCATGTCGACAACATACAGAAAATTTCGCGGTAAAAACTGAACCAGACGGAAAATACGGACGAAAATCCCTTGCAAAAATCAATTCCGGACAGATAATACCGCCAAACACGACGGTTCTGAAAATTGAGAAAGGCGGATTGTGCCTTACCTTGCGTACAACACTTTCCTGAACAGTTTCGTCGGACGAAAATGGCTCGGCGTCACCCGAAAATCAACTTTTCCACTTTTTTCCTTCGTTCTTCTCTCTCCTAAGCTTTTTCTCTCTCTTCAAAATATCTCATTTCCATATATATCCAGACTGATCGTCCCAGACGATCGCACTTCGTCCCGGGACGATCTGGCTCTGGACAAGTGTCGTCCAGACGAGATTTAATTATCGTCCCCGGCGACCGGTCCTTTGGAGCATTTTCGTCCAGACGATCCAAATTTTCGTCCAGACAAACTGCTTAATTTTCACAATTCCGACCAAACCTGTACCGATCGTCCTGGGACGATCCAACTTCGTTTCGGACGATCCTGGAGCAAAGCGATCTTCACAAAGACTTTGTCCCACTACGTGGGGTTGGCTACATGAATCCTTTTTCGCCATTGTGTACTGTTTAAAGTCAAATTCTCATTTAAATCTAATAAAGAAGGATCATTTCTAATATTTTCTAACCATGTCTTTTTAGGTCTACCTTTACCTTTCTTAACATAAGTCAAATATAAAATCTCAACTTTCATAACTGGGTCATCGGAAGGCCTCCATTTAATGTGACCAAACAATCTACGGAGACTCTCTCTAATCTTATCTTCCATTGGAGCTACTTCAACCTTTTCACTTATATGCTCATTTTGTGTCCTATCTCTAAGGGTAAAGCCAGTCATCTACCTAAGCATCCTTATCTCTGCAACGCTTAACTTATTATTATGCTACTCTTTTAATGGCCAACATTTGGCACCATAAGGCATTGTAGGTCTCACTACCATCTTATAGAATTTCCCTTAGGTTTGAGGGGAACCTTTATGTTGTTGAGATAGTTGTTATTTGGTTTTGAATATTTGATATTCTTGCAACTTGTATGTTTTTGATGATTCTAAATATTATTGCTTTGATTATTATTTCTCCTTACATATTTTTGAAATAATTATTTTTGCTCTTGTGTGTACTAACATTTCAGAGAAATTATACTCTAGATTGCTGAAGATTTCAAATCAAGATCAATTTAGAGTATATTATAATTTGAAATATGTATTTTTTTATTTTATCGAGTCTGAGAGAGTGTGATTGGAATTGAGTAACTGAGCACACGCACACACACACACACACACACACCAGGGGCGTGTCTTAAATTTTATATTTTTAAACTGATCGTACAGTATGAAACTAGTTCGTACGGGACAATCTGGTCAGTTATTTTTCCTAACGAGCAATAGAGCGAACAAAAATGACCTAAAATTTTTTCTAAGTAAAGATCATACGGATGATATTTTTCATTCGTACCCGGACAATATGCTCTGGTTCATTCTCTAACGAAGCTTGTATGGATGATATTTTTCATTCGTACCGGGACAATCGGCTCTAGTACGTTCTTGAATGCAGTTCATACAGATGATATTTTTTGTTAATACCAGAACGTTGCCCTCTGGTACATCCTTGAATGAAGTTTATACGAACGATATTTTTCATTCGTACCTGGACGATGCCCTCTGGTACCCGGGATGATGGGCTCTATTTTGTCCTCAAATGAGGTTCATATGGATGATAATTTTTTATTGTACCTGGACGAATGGCTCTGGTCTATTTTTGTTCATTGTCCTGACGATTCGCACATACCAACTTCAAAATTTTCTATTTGGACTGGACGAACACAATTCATATAGGATAATGATCGGGTATGAATACATTTCATACCAATTCATAATGGGTTCGTACGCAATAGTTTTTGAACTGTTTGAGAAATTTTTTGGAATTTTTAATTATTTTTAATTAATTAAGTTAGTTAAATATTGATATTCAATTAAAATTAAATTAAGGTTGAATTTGATGTCAAAGCAAAGGTGTTTTAATTTTTTCTGATTAAGAGATTAATTATGGTCAGTTAGAGGCATTATATATACTTTTTATATTTAACTTTGATTTATTAGATTTTATTGAAGTTTACATGCTTAATTAAGGGTTTAAACTTAAATAAAATAATTAAGGGGCCTAATGACTTCAAAAATTAGTAAGATATTTTTTATGGGTGGGGAATGTCATTATGTTTATGTGTTCAAAGTTTAAAGTCAAGGGAGTATGCATCCTAATTATTAGAATTTTTCTAAGTTCTCTAAACAAGTCCTTAATTATTGTCCATAATGATGTCACTAAGTTAAGTAGGTTTGAATCAAGGTTTTACTAGCCCTTGGACTTAACACATATGAATGCATAAACAAAACACAATCAATTTCTTATATCTAGGAGAACCTAGGCTAAGTGGTGTGTGTACCCTTAACATATAAGTATTAAAGATAACCAACATACATAAAGCTTTAATTAGTGAATGATTGGAATACAACCATTCACTAATCATTTCAGATTGATTCTTATTCACATAGGCTCAAACATGTTTAAAGTTTAAAGACTCAACTAAAAACACTCAAGGATTTCAAGCATTTAATTTTATAATAAAAATAGGGCAATTTTGAATTTTGGAAAGATAGTTCTTAAAATAATCTTGAATATACTTTAATATCATGAAAATATTTTAAAATGATCTTTGATTTTATTATGATACATTAGAACAAATGCTTTAATTTTCAAAATATTTAATTCAATCTTAATTAGATATTAAAATATTTAATATTTTAATAATGATTTAAAATATATTCAATATAAAGTATATATATATGTAATTCTTAATTTTAAAATAAAATGTTTTGAATTTTTGATTTATTTTAATATTAATATCAACATTTCTTAATTAATTTTTAAAATTTAATTATTTCTTAAAGATTTTAAAAATTAAATATCCATTTAAAGCTACTAAACATATTTAATATTAAATATAATTTAAAAATTACATTAGTAAGAATTTTGGTACTCCCAAAAAATCAGATATTATTTTTGTATAAATTAATCAAAATTTTGAAAATATTTTGATTTAATATAATAAAATATTATTTAAAATGCCTAGTATTTAAATATTCAAAATAATTTAAAATATATTAAATATTTTAATTAGTTTTAATTTTAAATCAAAGAAGATTAAAATCTGAGCAGTTTGATATATTATACATAATTTTAGATAAGTAAATACTTTCTAATAATTTTTTGAATTTTGTGCTAAAGAAAATAATTAAAATAGTAATTATATATGAATTAACAGGTTTTGGTAGCACCGACGGCAGTTGGAGTACATGCGGTAACTTGGTATTGGCCCACAAAATCACAGACAATGATTGCTTAGCAGCATAATGATTGCACAACAGATAATCATCATATAATGATGAAATCGTAGATGCAGTTTAACTTGTCCGTCTTAGCTAGGTCCCTATGCCGTTGGATCCTCCGATGTAATGAATCAACACGATTGTGATTTAGCCAGACGGAGCAGATGACCATGAGATCAGATCCATGGTCGGAAGAATGCATGGAATGACTTGATCTGGGCCATTGATTGCGCGATACATCCCAGAAAATGTATACTAAGAGTACATAGCGAACGAACCATATAATGGGTTTTTTTAGCTCGTTTGCTCGATTCAATTAACTAAATCACTTGAAATTTTAAACCTAAGTTTAGCACATGAATATAAATCTTGGGGAATACTTAATATGGCTAAAAACTTGCTTAATAAAATGCTAAATAACCCTAACTATTATAACCTAGGGCTAAGGATTTTAAGAGATTTTATTGTTGGATCTTTGAGGTCTTGATACGGTTGAGCTTGTAGACTGGCCACTTAAGTTTTACTAGTTAAAAGCATGGATCAAAAGGCCTTGGATTTACTGGATGAAGCTTTGGATGGAATGGGTGCTAGGGTGGTAGGAGGATCATCGCCGGCGAGCATCCAATAGTTGGGTTTCACTTGGAAAGTGAGGAGGAGAGTCAGGGAATTTAAAAAGAATTAAGGGCTCG